GAGGTAGAACAAGGGAGAGGGGGTTCAGATGAAGACCAAGGCCCACCCCCTCCTCATCCTAGGCAGTGCAGGGAGGAACGGAGAAGACAGCAACGTGGGTCGCGTGGCTTACGAGGGAGGAGAGGGACCAATCCTTTTTACAAGGCACACCTGGGGATGGAGTTTAAAGGAGAGGCAAACGGGAGGTTCGGTTGTCGGGAACAAACACTGAGTTCATCTGGTGCTTATCTCAGTTCCTAGCATCCTCCCAACTGGTTTGATTTACTGCCGTGCTGCTTCACTTCTGGAATTCCCTATTTTGCTTGCCCTGCCGGATTAATTACCTTGTCTTGCCTTGTTGGATTTTTAGTTGAAAGTTTTCTGCTTACAATGTTTGGGATGGAAGCATTGCCAGCCAAAGACTATTACAGGTGGCTGGAAGAGCTCTCTCCAGGCCGGAGAGTTGAAAGGGACATTGGGGGCACAGTTGGTGATAATAAAGGGACTCATATCGGTTCTCTGGCTGTGTTGCCTTGGTGTCACACCCCCGGGTCATCACAGTTACTGAACAGAACATGGGAAAGAGAATCTCTGGGAAATCAAGCTATCCAAGAGTTGAGGAGTCTTTGTGTGGAATAAGCTGCCTGGGAAAGCCAAGGGAAATCATCAAACCCAGAGGTGTATTCAGCCGGTTCATACCACTTTGTGTGAACCGTTGGCGGCAACTGCAGGTGCCATCAGCCCACCCACCCCAAGGTAATGCTGTCCCACTTAATCCTCCAAGGAAAGATAGAAGGCAAACGAAGGTCCAAGGCAGAAGAAGAACATCATGGTGTCAAAATCTAAGGGACTGGTTTGGACAAAACTCAGCAGCCCTTTTTTCGTGTGGCTGTTGATAAAAATAGGATCGCCAACACGATTGCCAACGTCCGATAACGGATATAGCACAAGAAGAAGAAGAAGTGTGGAATCCATGGGTTCTCCATCCTTGGAGGTCTCCAGAAAGAGATTCAACAAGAGTTCATGGCTTTCCGGCACGGGGGTGGTGAGTTGATCCCTTCCAAGGGTATAATTGAGAAATTGTAATCCTGAAGATCAGCTGTTTACACGGATAGAAATATTACCAAGAAGTGTGCACAAATCCTATCCATTCTACGGAGTTGAGTTTTCCATCCCTGGGAAGAGACTGAACAAGCACCTCTTGTGATTTTCCAGCAAGGGATGGAGAGTTGGTCCCTTCCCATTCCATAAGGGTGTGGTTGTGTGAAATTCTGAAGAAATGACTGACGAGGGGTCCGTTTCCCCAGGCTTCAATCCCTTCCAGGGGTAAAATGTTACCGGTTCGGACCGGTTCGCCCTGGTTTGCCTGAACTGGTAGTAAAAAAAATGCTACCAGTTCAGGCGAACCAGTATTTCCGACGATCAGCTGTGCCGCACGATTTATATTCGCTAGAAAGCAGGAAGTCCTGTTTTCTAGCGAATCTAAATCGTGCGGCACAGCTGTTCTACTTATCTTTGAAGACTCAGAAAAGGCTTCTTAATCCTCCTTTTTCAGCTCTGCGCGGTAGCGCCTGCAGTGCGCCTGCACGCAAAGCACACATTTGGTGCACACTGCGCATGTGCATATGTGTTTGGCGTGCACAAAGTGAACTGGTAGCAAAGCGAACTGGTAGCAGAATTCGGAGCATTTCACCCCTGATCCTTCCCCTGGCTGTTTTTGTACCTCTCGTCCGACAATCTTAGTAGCTGCCACACTGAATGTATATATCTGTGCACGGACACACACACTCACACTCCTGTAGCTCTTTCATTCGCATTTTTATTAGAAAAAAAAAAGACCTCCCTCTCCCTAGAATACTCTTAAACCTTGAAGGAAGACCAAAGCTTAATTTACATTTCACTTCCCACCTAGCAAAAGCATTTGAAGCAGGAGAAGCTAGCTATATTCTCGGGGCAAACATTCGAAGATTAAGAGGCACATATTAAAGAGTCGATTTCTTGCTCGTCTTTGAAGGAAATATTTTTTTTTTCTTTTTCTCTTTTGTGCAAAAAAAAAAAAAAGAGAGAGAGAGACAGAGAGAGACACCCTCCCGATACTATTTTGGTATAAAATGGAGCAAAATATTTAGACAAAGCCCAGGGTTGCCGAAAGAATCAGTGCTATTGTCCCCGTATGGATCTTGGCAACCCTTGAATTGAGGGATCCTTGAATTCCTGACTCCTGTTCTCTGCAGCAGCAGAAAACTCAGAATAACTCGGGAGTTAGAAGCGCAGGACTTCCAAGTGACAATGGCTCTTTTTTTTTTCTTCTTCTTCTTCTTAAAGGAGATAGCCAGATTCCCAGCATCGTGGGGGAAAGGACAGGAAAGGCAAAAGAAGGGAAAGGGGGGAGAAAAAAGGGGTAGACATGGATTGATGATACAAAGTGATGAAATCACACCTTGGATAAAAGCTAGCTGCCTACTTGCTTGGTTTATCCAAAGTTTCTCAACCTCGGCGACGTTAAGATGGGTGGGCTTCAACCCCCATGCTGGCTGGGGAATTGTGGGAGTTGAATTGTCCACCCATCTTAACGTCGCCGAGGTTAAGAAACCCTGGTTTTATCTATCATGGGTCAATATCTTAGGCTCCCGACTCCCTTGGGAAGAGGTAGCCAAACTCCATCTCAGGTGGGTCTCGCGGGGAACTCATAACTTAGTTCAGGCTTTGAAGGAACGCGTGTGTTATTGCTCACATCATAGGACCCGTTCAAGTGTCTGGTTTAATAAAAAAAAACTGCCTAAGGTAGGATTCACACAACCTGGAAATAATAAAAATGACTTTCAGGTCTCAGCTTTTCAAAGGGTTTCGGTTAGTGGTGGGATTCAAATTTTTTTTACTACACGTTCTTCTGGGCGTGGCTTGGCTTGGTGGGCGTGGCTTGGTGGGCATGGCAGGGGAAAGATACTATAAAATCTCCATTCCCACCCCACTCCAGGGGAAGGTTATTGCAAAATTCCCATTTCCTCCCAATCAGCTGGGACTCGGGAGGCAGAGAGTAGATGGGGGCGGGGCCAGTCAGAGGTGATATTTACTGGTTCTCTGAACTACTCAAAATTTCCTCTACTGGTTCTCCAGAACCTGCTGAAGCCCACCTCTGGTTTCAGTATGCATGTGGGTCTCACGGTGTTATTTCACGATGCAGTGATGATTCCTTAGTAATGGCGGAAAGAGGCCGTGGTGTATCTCGCCCAGCTTCTTACAAATTGCTTTTCTAGCTTTTGGATTTCCTTTAGTCACGGAGGAAGAGCAGCTGATCAACCCCCTTAGACATGTACAACTTACAACCACAGTTGAGCCCAACATTTCTGTCATTAAGTGAGAGGTGGGTTAAGTGAGTTTTGCCTCCATCTTTCTTGCCCCGGCTGTTAAGCGAGTCGCACCTGATTTATGACCTTTTTGCCATGCTTAAGCAAACCCCTGCAGTTGTTAAGTGAATCACATGGTCGTTAAGCAAACCCGGCTTCCCTCCTTGACTTTGCTTGTCGGTCGCCCATGGGCAAGGCCGTAATTGGCACTCATACGATCCTACAACCGGTTGTAAATACATTGCCGGTTGCCAAGAGCTTGGATTTTGATCACATGACCCCAGGGGACGCTGCAAGGATTGGTCGTCAATGGCTTTCTCAGGGCTGTTGTAACTTTGAACGGTTGCTAAAACCAATAGTCGTAAGTCAAGGACCACCTGTATTTAAACCCCCTTCCGGTTTTTAATGGACTTCCCTTGTCTCCAAACGTTGGAAGCTCTGAATGTTTGGAGCAACTTAACGTGCTGATTTTTTTTCCCTTGGATTTTGACGTTGGGGGGAAAAGGGGAAAAGTGTCCTTTTCCAGCAAAAATGCAGGAAGATAGAAGGATTATGCTCGTTTTTCAGCTATCGCTTGCATTGCAGAAGACAAAAATAGATGCTCTCCAGAGGAATCAAAAAGTACCATATCTCTGCACCTTTACTGTTGGGGGAGCGCTGAAATCTAGATCAGGACTTCCAATCTTCCCACTAAATTGTGACATTTTTGCTAGGAACCTGGAGATATTTTAATTTCCACCACTGCTTCAAGGTTTGGTTGAATCAACTTCACGTCCCTCCAGGGAACAAGGATTGTCTGAAATGGGTAGAGGGTTGGACTAGAAGACCTTCAAGGTCCCTTCCGACTCTGTCATCCTGTTATTTTGTCCACCCCACTGGAAGTTTTAAAGAAGAGATTGACAGAAAATCCCCTTTGGTCTTCTCATCCTTATTTTGTATCAAGAGCTCATCTGAAGTCCCAAAGGTTCTTTTTGTTCCCACGAGGAGACTGGACTTTCTGTTTTTTTTCTTTTGAAGACGTTTCACTTCTCCTCCAAGAAGCTTCTTCAGCTCTGACTGGATGGTGGGGAATGGAAGGATTTATATTCCTTTGCAGACAGCTGGTCATTTGCATCCTTTTTAGAGAGTCGTGGAGGCCGCTTGGAGGTTTGTCTGTGTCCCCCTGAAGAAATGCTTCCATTCCCCACCATCCGGTCCGAGTTGAAGAAGCTTTTTGGATGAGAAGCAGGGGTGAAATGCTCCCGGTTCAGACCGGATTGCTCAATCCGGTAGCGATGGCTGTGGGTGGTTCGGAGAACCTGTAGCAAAAATCCCTGTGCCCCCCCACCATGCTCAGCTGAGTCGCACGATCATCAGAGGCTTTTTTTTTTTACTTTTAAAACATTTTTTCTACAACCTCTTCCGACAAAAAAATGCTTTTAAAAGTAAAAAAAAAAAGCGTCTGATGATCGCACAGCTCAGCTGGGATCCTCAGAGGCTTTTCAAAGCATTTTTTTTCTGCAACCTCTTGGCCGAAGAGGTGGTAAAAAAAATGCTTTGAAAAGTCTCTGACGATCCCAGCTGAGTTGCTTAATCGGCAGAGAGGCTTTTCAAAGCATTAGAAAAAAATGCTTTGAAAAGTTTAAAAAAAAAAAAAGTTGGCCACGCCCACCCAGTCACATTAACCCCCCCACCCACCAAGCCACGCCCACAGAACCGGTAATAACACATTTTACATTTCACCCCTGATGAGAAGCGAAACATCTTCAAAAGAAAAACCAGAAGGTCCAATTCTGAGGAGGACCCAGTTTGTGGGGGCAATAAGCTGACTTTGTATAAATATACAAAAGGATGAAGGCTATTGCTTAACGCATTGTAAGCCGCCCTGAGTCTCCAGAGAAGGGCGGCATATAAATCAAATAAAATAATAATAATTAATTGCCTCTTGAAAAAAATAGCACCTTCGGCTCAACCATGACCTGGATGATGGAGAATCTCCACCGGAAGCTTCCTTAGATGAGAACCTGAGTGGGTACAACCCCAAAAGCTGAAATACCCAAATTTTAACGGGGAAAAGGGGGGGGGGTGCCCCTACTGAGAAAAGACCCTTGAATGCCAATCTCAGGGTGGAATCTCTCCATTGGAAAAACAATTGGGTTAGGTGGAAGCGAAAGGCATCATGAGTGCCCCATTATCACTCTGCATTGATCCCGTGCCTCTTTTCCAACCTCTTGCTCCATGTAGTAAAATATTCTATAAAAGAAAGTGACTGAAAATCTATAGCTCTAAGAATACCTGGTTATCTTGTGTGTGTGTGTGTGTGTGTATCGCCCTTGTTCTTATTTTGATCTCGTTATTAAACTCAAAGAAATCGAAGGAGGGAAACCGAGGCGCATCAATGTTTGCTGGGACCTGAAAAGCAGAAAATGAAAACAAAGGGGGCTCTTGGAAATGGGAGGAAAGGGGGCTGGGGCAGAAAGGTGTAGGGGGGGAGAAGGAGTATCTCACAAGTTGGAAGGCAGTTTTGAGCGGGTGGGCTCTTGTTCCCCGCTCAGCTTTAGAGATCCTTTCCTTTCGGCAGAGGGCATAGAGGAGGAGATGGCAAATGCTGGAGGTTGGGGCAGAGAACCTGAAGATGTCTGGCGTGGTAGCGTGACCCGTCCTGGCCCCGAACTATATGGCTTCCCCAGAGGTCTGGGGCCTCCCCCGATGTCACTGACGTTGCCTCCTCCTCCTCCTCCGGAGAACGAAGAGAAGCTAGAAACGGACTCCCGGGAGGAGGAATGCGGGCTCGAAGTCTGCGCTGCTTCGTGGGGAAGAGTCGGTTGGGAGGCGGAGATCAACTTGAGGTCCTGGGTTAATCGTCCTGGCAAAACCAGTGGCCGACTCCGGGGTGGGAGCACCTGGGGAGGTGGGCTGGAGGTCTGAGGCAGGAGCAAAGAGCCTTGAGAACCCAGCGTCCCTGACGGGCTGCGCTGGAAAGTCCTGGGGGGCAGGCTTTGACTGGGAGGGCTAAGGCCTGATGGTAGGGGGTACAAGGGTGGGGGTACAGGACCGGGCTTTGGGGGAGACAGGGAAGCGAAGGAGGATCGTTCCTGGTGCAACTGAGCAACAGTGGCCGGCTCGGCGGAAGAGCCTAATGCACTTGGCTGGGTGGGGCCGGAGGCAGGAGGGGGGCCTCCCGAGGCCTGGGACAGCTGGCGTAAGCCAGAGGAGGGAGAACTGGATGAAGGGGGCAACTGGAAGTGGTTGGTCCCTCCAGTTCCTGAGAGCTGCAACAGCTGCCCCGTGGAGTGGGGCCTGCCCGTAGGTTGCAAGCGGCTGCAAGGACTAATGGGGGAATTTGAAGAGAGTTGAGGGAATGAGGTGGGGGCGGTGGCGGGGGGCGACCTTGGAGGAGCCTTCTGGAATGGGCCAAAGCTGGTGTCTGAAGCCTGCTGCCGAGCGGCCCCTTCTGTCAAATCCAGCGGCCCAGGACACAGCTGCTCCAGTCCGGTAGATGTTGGGCTGCCCAGGTTTTGCTGCGTCGACCCAACGGATGGAGAGCTGGCCAAGGACCGGTGCAACGGACCCAGGGTGGCTGATGCAGTAAACCCAGCCAACTGCTGGATCTGAAAGGAGGAGGAGGAAAGGGTCTCCATCCCTGGCGTGAGCTGTTGGGATGGCGTGCTTGACGGGGAACCCACAATGGAAGGTCCGGCAGAAGACACCAAGGAATGGAGTCTCCTCAAGCGCCTCGGAGTCTGGCTTTGCGTCTGCCCCAGAGAACCCAGAACGGAGACCGGAGGACGGAAAATGGCTGTGGGAAGGCGTGGGTGGTGAGTCAGCGCTATTGCTACCGAAGTGGTGGCGGCGGCAGCCTGCAGAGGAGCCTGGATCAGCGGGGTCCAAATTACAGGCGTGGGAGTCGATGCTGCCGCCGCCGTTGCCGCTTGGATGTTGTGGGCACAGTGGGCCATTTCTCGGTCATGCTGCACAATTTGTTGGATGATCTCGTTCTCCTGGTAGTTGAAGACACCGGAGTTGAGGTCATGTTGGACCTTATGGAGAAGGATGGAGTTCTTCTTCCCTGAAAGGAAGAAGGAGGACAGTGAGGAGCTGTCTTGAAGAACCACCAACCAGTTAAGACACCAGGGGTGGCTCTTCTCCCCCATCTCAGTCAAGCTTCCTCTTCTGCAGAAGATTCATTTCCATTGGAAATCAAAATAGGGGTACAAAAGCCACAGGTTTATCTGTCAACCCTGTAGCTGGCCTGACTGAAGCCATCTTGAGACTTCAGTGCTGACACACCGGAGGCGAGGGATAGGGAGGGGGAATAGAGATAGTTGGGGAGTTGTAGTCAAAAGAGCCTCGGTGGTGCAGCGGACTAAGTGCTGTTAAGTGCTGTTAACTGCCTGCAATTAGTGCAAGTTCAAATCTCACCAGGCTCAAGGTTGACTCAGCCTTCCATCCTTCCGAGGTAGGTAAAATGAGGACCCGGATTGTGGGGGCAATAAGCTGATTTTGTATAAAAAAGAACACCGCTTAGGGGGGGCCGAAAGCCCTACTAAGCAGGTATATACAAAAGCATGAAGGCTATTGCTATAATGCATTGCAAGCCGCCCTGAGTCTATGGAGAAGGGCGGCATATAATTTTTATTTTTTTATTTTTTTTTAAATTTTATTTATATGCCGCCCTTCTCCGGAGACTCAGGGCGGCTTACAATGCGTTAAGCAATAGCCTTCATACTTTTGTATATTTATACAAAGTCAGCTTATTGCCCCCACAAACCGGGTCCTCATTTCACCTACCTTAGAAAGGATGGAAGGCTGAGTCAACCTTGAGCCTGGTGAGATTCGAACCAGCAGTAAATTGCAGGCAGCTGTGTTAATAGCAGGGTGCTTAGACCACTGTACTATCAAGGTTCTTGGTGGTCCTTCAGCCATAATCAGCAGAATTTTTCTTCATACTCTTCCCAGGACCCACGTCCCTCTCTGCATCTCACATGCTCCAAGATGCCACACTAATGCTCTCCTAACCTGATCTGTGCTAAGAAGAAACGAAGAATGGAGGCCGGGGAAGCATTTGGAGCAATACCAGAAGTGACCCTCCAGTAGTCAGTCCAGTATCTTCTGAATACCAGATCTGTGTGTGTGTGTGTGTGTGTGTGTGTGTACCTACCAATGCGGTCCAACCTATCCAGTGCCACTGTTTCGAAGGCCCTCCTCATCATGGGATATTCCTCTAATACTTCATTGAAATTGTCCACCGAAAGTGAGTAGAGACGGCAGTACGTGTCAGCTCTCACGCTGGCTGTGCGCCGACCACGAGTCAGCAGGCAAATTTCTAGAAGAAAAGAAATACCTTGACATCTGCTTTGTAGCATGGACAATCGGCTTTTCAGGGGCAACGGCGAGTAATCTAGTAGTAGTCATAGTAGTACGTAGTAGCTTGGTACATTTAGAGGTTAGGAGCATACAAATCAGAGATTCAATCGAACAACTAAGCACTGAAAACTTCAATGAAAGATCAGAACAGAGCTGGAAGGGACCTTAGAGGTCATCTAGTCCAGCCCACTGCTGAAGCAGGAGATCCTACACCATTTCAGGCAAGGGATTGTCCAGTCTCTTCTTAAAAAACCTTCAGTGATGAAGCACCCACCACGTCTGAAGGCATGGCCTCTCACCTTGTATCTGTGGGAGACCTATCTTTTTACTTATGCATAAATAGATATTAATCTAAATGTCTATGGAGATTCTCAGTCATCCAAGACATGGTTGTCATAAAGGTGCTTTTTTAAAAAAAAAAGAAAAAAGAAAAAGATCTAATAAGGGTGCAGAGAAGAGCAACAAAGATGATTTAGGGGATTGGAGGCTAAAACATATGAAGAACGGTTGCAGGAACTGGGTGTGTCTAGTTTAATGAAAAGAAGGACCAGGGGTGACACGATAGCAGTCTTCCAATATCTCAGGGGCTGCCCCAAAGAAGAGGGAGTCAAGCTATTCTCCAAAGCACCTGAGGGTAGAACAAGAAGCAATGGGTGGAAACTAATCAAGGAGAGAAGCAGGGGTGAAATCCAGCAGGTTCTGACAGGTTCTGGAGAACCGGCAGCGGAAATTTTGAGTAGTTTGCAGAACTGGCAAATACCACCACCTCTGGCTCACCCCAGAGTGGGGTGGGAATGGAGATTTTGCAGTATCCTTCCCCTGCCACGCCCACCAAGCCACACCACGCCCACCAAGCCACGCCCACAGAACCGGTAGTAAAAAAAATATGGATTTCACCACTGGAGAGAAGCAGCCTAGAACTAAGGAGAAAATTCCTGACAGTGAGAACAATTAACCGGTGGAACGACTTGCCTCCAGAAGTTCTGGGTGCTCCATCCATGGAGATTTTTATAAGAAGAGCTTGGACAACGGCAATGGCCTGGACTGATGGGGTTTTATATGGGTTTTTAACTTTTGTCTGGTTTAATTAGGTATTTTAACTTTGTACTGTGGTTATTGTGGATTTTATTGTTGTGAGCCGCCCTGAGTCCGTTGGAGATAGGGCGGCATATAAGTTAAATAAAATAAAATAAAATAAATAAATAAATCCTGCTTGAGTAGGGGGCTAGACAAGAAGAGAAGACCAAGGTCCTTTCCAACTCTGTCACTCAGTCATTCCATTATTCAATCAAACATGAAGACCAGATAATTCAACTCTACACAAAAGGATCGACCACTTTTGGGATCTTTGTTTTTGCTATATAACCGAGAGAGGGAAATGCGTTCCTGTACCTCCAAAGTAGGAACCATCGGCCAGTTTGGTCTCCTTGTTGCCTTTGGTGAGCACACTCACCAACCCATGTTGGATGAAGTACATCTTCTTCCCGATGGTGCCTTCTCGGATGATGTAGTCCCCTGGCTGGAAGACCTCAAAGCGCAACTTGGTCAGCATGGAGGTTACGAAATTGGGGTCGGCGTTGGCGAATAGAGGCATGGAAGCCACCAGTTTCCTGCAGTTAAAGTTGATGATCTCCTAGTCCCAACAGAAGCAGAAACATCCTGTGAGATACGGGGGATTTCAGCTGAATGTCTAAATAAGGGCTCCTGGACCTCTTCTCCCTCTAGCACAGTGGTTCTCAACCTTCCTAATGCCGCGACCCTTTAATACAGTTCTTCATGTTGTGGTGACCCCCAACCATAAAATTATTCCTAAAACCATCGAAAATATGTGTTTTCCGATGGTTTTAGGCGACCCCTGTGAAAGGATCATTTGACCCCCAAAAGGGTCCCGACCCACAGGTTTAGAACTGTTCTGTCCCCGTCTCACACACGCACACAAACAGTCAGCCAGGAGTTAAATAAAACTTGCAGACAATAAATTCCTTCGATAACAGGATTGGCAGCAACCCAGTAGCTGCTTGCCAAGAACTTTACTCACAGAGGGAGGTGTTCCTCCTCTGTCAGATAAACCAAAACAAATACACATAGCCACAGAATTGTCAAGTCCAGTCCGTATTAAATCCAAGGCAAGTAGATAACGTAGTTTCAGAGATACAATGCGACTCGCTAGTTGTTTAGTTTTGTCCGTCACAGAGCCTGAATGGCCACCGCACCCCCTTTTATCCCCTGTGGGGTGTGGTCCAGTGACTCAGCTTAACCTCTGGCACGCCTCCTTTTCTGCTGCGTGCACTTGTCTCTCTGATGCTGGCGCGGATCCAGCCAAGACTTATCTCCATCACTGTCCAACTGCGACTGTTTGGAGATACCTGGCTCCTGGCCAATCTCTTCTCCTTCGGGAGACACCTGAGGCATTGCCAGAGAGGAGGGTCCTGGAGAGGGAGGCCTGGCCAACTCCTCTCCCTCACCTTCGGAGTCTTCTCCCTCCGATAAAACGGGCTTGGGGGTCGGAGTCATAAAAAGAATACTGCTCTAGCATGTACTATTCTAGCATGATGAATGCTTCATCATTCAGTGGATTAATCAACATGAATACAATTTATGTATATGTTGATTGATCTGTTCTTCTCATATGTGAAGCAGCTCTACTGTTTGATTTTCATTCCTTTCATTTCCTTTTCCGGTCTCACTTTTCTATTTAAAACCTCTAATGTCAATATAAATAGTAATGGAGACAAAGGGCATCCTTGTCTTGTCCCTTTCCTGATATTTATTTTCCCTGTCATTTCACCATTTACCATCACCTTTGCCACTTGATCTCTCTATATAATTTGGATCATATTTACGAATCTGTCCCCAATGCCAAGGTGGCGCAGTGGTTAGGGTGCAGTACTGCAGTTACTTCAGCTGACTGCTAGTTCAGCAGATCAGCGGATCAAATCTCACCGGCTCAAGGTTGACTCAGCCTTCCATCCTTCCGAGGTGGGTAAAATGAGGACCCAGATGGTTGGGGGCAATATGCTATTTAGTATACTGTCTTTGGTGTAAGCCGCCCAGAGTCCTTGGAGATAATATCATCATCAGAAACGTCTTTGAGAAAACCACCAAGTTCAGAAAGCACCAAGGAGCCCACAGTCCTCCTCCTCTTCCACTCCACAAACCCCGTTCCCTTCTAGCATTGATGATGTTATCTATTTGGGTCATGAAACGTCTGAGAGAAAACCACCAAGCTCAGAGAGCATCCAGGAGCCCACAATTCAACCCTGAGCTACAAAGATACCTTTGATGTGTGCTTCCTTCATCTTTATACTGCTCACCTCTTTCAGGGGCTCACTTAGTTCTCCCAGGATGCTCTCCTCATCAAACATTTTGCCCTGATACCGATGTTCATAGTAGTCATGGATCCTTTGGCGCATCTCAGCTGGAAGTTTGTGGAAAGACATGTATTGTTCGACTTGCTTGTACTGTGTGGGGAGAAAACAGGATCCGTCAAGACGGGTTTTGACCTAACTTTAGTGCATGCTATTTATATCTCCATTCCAGAATCAAAAATGGACATGACTAGAGTTCATCACCAACCTCCTTTTCTTCTCACCCTTGGAAGAAAATTCCAGTGGTTTATTTTTTATTTTATTTTTTTATTTTACTTCAAATTTATATACCGCCCTTCTTCCTGGGAACTCAGGGCGGTGTACAGCCAGATAAAGACACATAATATAAACATTAAGAACAGATTAAAAGGAAATATCTCAATTTGGCCAAGAAATTAAAAAACATACAAATTTAAAATCATTTAAAAGGATTGGTACGTTGGCAACCAACATACCATATTTTTCTGAGTTTAAGACGCACCTACCTTTTTTGGTGAGGAAAAGAAGAAAAAGAAATCTGCCTCTGCCTCCCAGCAATTTTGCCTCCTTGCAGCAAACAGCAAACTTTCATTTTCATTTTCAGCATAGCTTGATTAGCACAAGGAGAGAAAAAAAAAACTGCTCCCAGCAATTTACCTCTTTGCAGCAAGCAGCAGAGCCCTGCGCAAAACAGCTGAGAGCAAATCAGCTGAGAGCCGGGAGGCCAATCCAATCAACTTGTGCTAATTAGGCTGTGCTGAAGCTGAAAGGAGCCGTTTCTTCTTGCTGCTTGCTGCAAGGAGGTAAACTGCTGGGAGGCAGAGGCCAAAGGTGGGGGGGGCAGTGGGGGGGGCTACATTCGGTGTATAAGACGCACCTAAATTTTCACCCCCTTTTAGGGGGGAAAAAGGTGCATCTTATACTCTGAAAAATACGGTATATTTCCAACGGTTGCAGCATCCCACGGTCATGTGGTCACCCTAACCATCCTGGCAGAAAAAATTGTAAAATCCACTTAACAACCCATTGGCTTAACAGTGGGTATTCTGCTCCCAGTTGGGATTGTAAACAGAGTACTGTATCACTCCCAGTAAACCCCTTGGAGAAATCTATTTCTTTGAGATGTTGGGAGGACGTGTTTGAAGGATACATTTATATGCCTAATCTATCAACCTTCATGCAATCCAACAGGATCCACCCAAAAGCTGCGTTAACAAAAGATGAGAGGAGAGGAGAGGAGAGGAGAGGAGAGGAGAGGAGAAGAAAAGAGAAGAGAAGAGAAGAGAAGAGAAGAGAAGAGAAGAGAAGAGAAGAGAAGAGAAGGAATGGTGTGGAGAAGAGAGAAGGAAGGAAGGAGAAGAGAAGAAGAAAGGGAGGGAAGGAAGGAAATAAAGAGAAGAGAAAGAGAAGCAGTGGAGAAGGGAGAGAAGGAAGGAAAAGGAGAGAGAAAAGAAGAAGAAATGGAGGGAGGGAGGGAAAGAAAGAGAAGAGAATTTAGAATAAAATAGAATAGAATAGAATAGAATAGAATAGAATAGAATAGAATAGAATAGAATAGAATAGAATAGAATAGAATAGAACAGAACAGAATAGGAATAGGGCTGAAGGGACCTTGGAGGTCTTCTAATTCAGTAGTGATGGCTTTCCATTAAATTCTGCTCACGTGCCTCCTTCTCTTTCCACCTCTCCCTCATCTGTGCCAGGGGGCATCCATCCGTCATTTTTATGGACAGAATCAAGCAGGAAAGGAAGCAGGTTCAGGCAGTGACTTTGAAATGAGATCTGCACCAAATCTCTACAATTTACTGCCTTTCAGCTTGGCCTGCAGAAGCCAAATGGATTCCCAGCAGCTTGTGAACAATTGACTTGCACCTTTGATCCACCACTTCCTCCCCCTTGATAATGAACTGCCCCAAACCAGCTGTTTAGAATTAGAAACTGCATGAAAGTTGTAGCTTAAGGGCTAAAACGATCATATATTTTTTAAAAAAAGAAAGAGAAAAAAAAACCAATTTCCCCCACCCCCCCAAATTAGCAACATTATAATTATCTTTTCTTTTTGGAACTATTATTGTTAGACAAAGGTGGTTAACTGTTACTGTTAGAGTGAGGTCTAAACTGGGATAAATTAAGGTTTGGTCATTTGCAGCAGTGAATTTCATCGGTGCTAAATTAATCGTACTAAATCAGAAGCTCAGAACTACATTCGTGGAATTAAAATTAATTAAAATTAAGATTAAGACCAGCTGCCTGCAATTACTGCAGGTTCGAATCTCGCCAGGCTCAAGGTTGTCTCAGCCTTCCATCCTTTCTAAGGTAGGTAAATTGAGGACCCAGTTGTGGGGGCAATAAGCTGACTTTGTATAAATATACAAAAGGATGAAGGCTATTGCTTAACGCCTTCGTCTCCGGAGAAGGGCGGCATATAAATCAAATTAAAAAAAAAACACACACAACAATGGGAAGATCTCAAAATACCATATTTCCCTGAAAATAAAACCCTGACTTATATATTTTTTGAACCCTGAAATAAGCGCTTGGCTTTATTGCCATGCGCTCAAAAGACCTGATTAGGCTTATTATCCGGGGATGTCTTATTTGGGGGAAAACCGGGTATCAATTGATTTGTGGTCGGTGTCTTCCGTTAAAAAATCCCAAAGGTGCTTTTTCCAAAGGCAGCTGGACTTTGTGTTTCCTTGAAGATGTTTCACTTCTCATCCGAGAAGCTTCTTCAGTTCTGACTGAATGGCGGAGGATGGAAGGATTTATATTCCTTGCAGTCCTCTGGTCGTTAGTATTCTTTCTGAGAGTCATTGAGGCCACTTGGAGGTTTATCTGGGCCCTCGGGGGGGGGAGCTCACTTAAATGGTATAAGTGGGTGTGGGGCCTTCTTGGAACTGCTGAACAGAACTGTGTTGCAAACAAGAGATTAGGTGGTATCGAATCCCTCGCCCTCCGTTGAGAGAGGGCTGTTCAATTTT